TCAACTCAAATAAGAAGTTCAGAGGAAACCGCAGTGCTCACGGCTATGAGTTCTAACAGGCTGCAATGAGTCTGCAATGAGTAGCTGACCATTAAGAAATGAAGCTGGTGTAAGTAAGTGACCAGAATGGCAGAGTTGCTGCTGGTTGGCAAGCACTGCTGAAAATCTGAAAACATCACTGATGCCTTTAGTCTTAAAGACTTCTTTCCTGCTCAAAATATATGGATGATAGGAACAGTGATATTAACAATACTCAATAAGAGAGAGAGGAAAAAAGCTTTAATTCAAATGTAAAATTCCTCAGAGGTGTAAAGTGCTTTTTAATCCACTTGTTCCAGATTGACATTATTGCTTGGAAGCAGTGGTTGTTACTTCTGGTTTCTCGATCTGAGCAGAAAGAGAAATACTGTGAGTGCTGCAAATGATACATTGCTTTATCTTAGGCAGTTTAGTCATTGAGATGCAATGTGTTTTAATACAATTCTGCCTAGCAACACGTTGAGAACTTACTGTCCACACAAGAGTCTGGCAACATAATAAGGAAGAAATCGTCATCTTTTAGCTATACCTATGTTTGGGAATGTTAGCATAAGTTGGTTTGCTTTGACTCGTTCACTAAAAATAACATTTTTTCCCAGAGAAAAGTTCAGCTTCTGGATTAGTCAAAGGGATAAAAATGTGCTGGTAGTACCAAGAGCAATTACAAGCGAAGTTCAACAAGAATTCATTATCATTGTGTATTCCTATCCTAGAACATTATGCAGGACAGGCATTGTAACTATAGTTCAGACATATATGTATCCATTTGATTTTTTCACAAAATGAGGAGATTATGAAACCTCAAATAGTGTCAAGTCTCAGTAACAGCTATGTGAGCCATAAAACTGAAGGGATTATTTTAGCATAAATAATTTGTTACATTAGGGATGTCTGCAAACACAGCACAGTTAGATTTTACATGTGCTTGCAAGAGAAACCAGGCACCTTAGCCGACCTTTTCCTGTTCCTCTACTAATATGGTGAACCATTTCCAATATAAATTAGTTTATCTTCACAATAACTCAGCACAGTTCTTACTGGTGAAAGCCATCTAATAATATATACAAAAAGGTTCACTAAAGAGCGTTCAGGGAACTACAGTGTTAGTGTTTGGGAGCAAGACAGATTTTATGCCCTTTGTGCCTTGCCTTTCAGTTGTTCATCATCTACTGTCCACAACATGCACTAGTAGAGAAAGGGGAGATGACGTGGCTTAGACCAAAAACCATGCAGGCTCTCTCCTGGTCCACCTTTCGCTGACCACTGTGGCCAGCTCACCTCTAGTCCAAGTTTTGACTTCCTCACCCTTTATGTGACATTGGATCTAGATACTTTCTTGACCCCGCTGCATCATGCCTCACAAAGAGGAACAACATATGGGTAACAAAACAATATAGACTTCTTACGATTAATGAAGACAAGACATGCTTTCTTGACCTATAATGATGTTAGGTTTTTGTAGCCTGTTTTGTTTATAGACCTCCTATTTTCCTCACATTTGTTCAGTCTCTGTTCCAACCTTACCTATTCCCTCAGTATCTTGTATTACTCATCTCTATTTCCATTCAGTTTAATAACTTGTCCTTCACATTCTCCCCCCACAATTTATTTCTGGTATTATTACATATATTCTTGGAGTTTGTTTCTGTCTGTGTAAACAAGGGCAAAAGAGGAAGGCTATACAGTGGAAAATGCTACTTTTAAAATGAATGCTTCTTTGTTTATTTCAAGCTTCCATGGGATTACAGATGAATACCCATCGCAACACACTCAAATGACGAAGGATAAATGAACAATCACCTTTGTCCCTGCTGCTCACTCCTCCCACTGGCATCTACTCTATATCCTATATGGCTGAAAGAACTGAGAAAGCCAGCATATTCTATTTACCCTTATACAAACTTACCATCGTTATTTTAATTTACATCGTAAAACCCAGAAGTGTTCTAGCTGCTTTATGGAACAAATAATAATGTAAAGTCACTGTTCGAAAGCACAAAATTGCATTTTACAACCCTTGTAATCAAAACAATTAACAGCTGTGAAGGGATCATGAATGAGGGAAAACAGTTAAATAAATAGTAACTCCTACTTCATGCATCTTTTGGCAGTTCCCCTACATGTAATCTTTAAAACGGCTTGTGTCATACAACCTTTGCTGCTGTTTTCAGGTACGTAAGCATGTAATGGTCTTAAAGGGACTGCCTGTAAGAATAAGTATTCACCCATGACAAAATTAATGATAACAATAAGAATTAGTTCTTATTCAGAACTTTTTATCAACAGATCTCAGTGTTCTACAGGGGATGTCTTTGTAAGAATAAGGCATATGTATTACAGAATCACGTGATTTGACTATTTGCATTTTGTGGGACTTCACCATTTTCTTCAGAAGGATGTTCCACTGCTTAATAGATCTTCTAATTATAAAGTGTCTTACTATTTAATCAAAATGTTCTTTGCTGAAATTTCAACTAATTATTTCCCACCTTGTCACTTTTGGCTCGTGAGAACAATTCTGTTCTGTTCTACACACTGCTAGCAAGAAAGCTACAACATTTCTAAGCTGTGGAAAACACCTGTAGCATCTTTAATTGCAGACCTAAACAAATTATCACAACAGTTAATTACTGAATTCTCCACAACTCAATTGCACTTCCCATTGAGGGATCTCTGAGTGCCTTAAAAATGTTAGCACGTTTAATGTAAATAACCTGTCATGCCATGGATTACTGTCAGCCTCATCCTGTGAAGGAAGATGGGTGCCACGTCTGCCGACGTGGAAAGTCCCCTTTCCTTACCACAAGACCTTCCTACTTATGTGTGTAGCATTATGGCTTACTAAACAGAGAATTTTAAAGAAAAAAGAAGCATATTTTATTTCTTTAAAATATAAAGCCAAGATAAAACACTGAACATATCCCACTGGATTAAACAGTACAGTATTTATGTTGAAATATGTACATTGTACATTTATTTAGATATGTTTAGATATATTCATATATGAGGTCAGCTGCAAAGAAAGGTGAAAAAGGGGGACCCTAAACAGACCAAATTTTCTTTCCTATGCTCCTATAAAAGCTCAATGATTTCTTCTTTCCTTTCCCATATTTATTTTAGAACAGGTAAGATTGAAAGGTGGCCCTATATGAAGTGCTCTGGGATTTTTTGAGAGGCTCAGACAGTCATCTATCTTTCAGGCAGAATCAGGCCTTGAGGAGTACGATTTAGCAAATCCCATTAGACTGAAAACAAAGGAACTCTCTGAGAATATAGTCAGGTCTAAAATGACTAAATCCACCCTCTCTTTTCTCTAAAAGAAAAAAAGAGACCAATCTACAGCATCCTTGAAGCAACAGCACATACTAAAAAGGAGCCAAAGTTAGGATTTCTATCATCCGTCATTCTATCAGTCTTTTTCCCATGTAGTTTTCCGTAGTCAACAAGAGCTAACGAGGCTGGCAGAGGGGAATATTTCAAGTTGAATGAGGAAATACTATAAAAGCATATTAGAATGGTGCAAAGAGAGGGTTCAAACATATATGAAACATAGTGTCCATATTTCTCCCCTTCTACAGCACAGTATGGCCTGAGCTTTTTCTATTACCTTCTGGACTCCACTTTTTAGTGGTATTACTAACGGACCCTATGATGGGTGCTCAAGTGTTGCTTAACTGGTTTTCCTTTGAAGGAGAATCTGACCCTAGCATAACTCGAAGCACTTACTTTAACTCCCGTCAGTTCTTCCAGTTTCACATCCCCCATTCTTTCATCAAACACAACATCAGCACAAAATTATAGCACCGAGAAACGCGCTTAAGTCACGCTATCACACAATATACTGGACAAAAAAATGAGGCAAGGAAATTACCATTAAGCCTAAATTTCTGCTGTTTCATTTATAAAATAGTTAATGTTGTCTTTTGTTTATTATAAGGAGATACAGCTGGCAGTCATTGGTTATTTTCTGTAATAACTATTTTGTCTGTTTCCTCTAATTTCCTCAATTCAGTCTTCTAAATTTTGCCCAGAATAATACCTTATAAAAGCACATTAATGAAATGCCTCATTAGCTGCTTTCTTTTGTTACTTCTGTCTTGGCAATGCCACTTAGAATTCAAAGGACAGAAACGGTAATACACCAGCAATTGTGAAGGACTTTGAAACGCTCTGCATGAAGGGCGCTCTAAAAATTCAGCACTGAAACTGCAACCTTTACTTGTGACCATAACTGTTATGTTAACAGCGCTTGATCAGAAAATTACATAAGCTGTTTGTTTTTCCACTGAATTTAAGTATTTTTAGATTAGTTTAAAATACACACATGAAAACAACATGTGAATAGAACTCGGGAATACAGTTTTAGCTGACTAAACCTTAGAATTGCAGTTTAGAATAACCAAAATGATCTAAATTTCTAAAAAAAGAGCATCATTTCTGGTTTACAAAAACTTGCAAAACATGGGCAGCTTTAACCCTTCTTTTATTCCAGTCTTTTCAATGCACTGTAAGAAACTTGAGATTAAAAGCGTTGTGAAGATATGCATTGATTTAAGTATGTTTCTCTTAATGTGGATTAAATTGAACAAATAGATACGGAAATATAATGTCTTCCCCCATTCTAAATCACTAAGCTAGAAAAAATATTAATTGTACATTTGATGTTATTTTCTTCTTCATCTTGAGAGGATTTTCATTACTGAGACAAGAGGCTTGGATTATTGCTTATATTATCACACTGTCTTTGTACAAAATATTCTGTCTTCAGACAGAACGTAATGTAACGTAAACCAAAAGAATAACCTTTTGTCAACCTGTAATTATGTACTTGCAAAGATTTAAAGAGCAACGCTCAGTTAGAAATAACATCTAGTCTTTCTTGGAATCTTACTGATGATTTCAAGACGCTTAACTATTGCAGAGATATGTAAGTTATTTTAAGAATAAAAACAATCTCTTACTTGGTCCTCAAAGGAGATTGCCTGGGCAACATCTCTGGGAAATCCATCAATCACTATACCCTCTTCATCAGGGATCTGCATTAATCTCTGCTTTATCTCAGTTATGGTTGTTTCCTTTCACAGAGAAAAGAAGTTATTTATTTAATATTGTAAAGGAAGTTTTCTTGATGGTGCACATTAATACAGCATGTACAAATCCTTTGAAAGTAAACATGAACACAGGATACGTTGTACCTGAGGGGCCAGTTCTCCAGTAGTAATTATTTTGGCAATTAGACTCCATTTTCTATTGCTGCTTGTGCTGTGGATCTTCTTCCTTAACAATTCACCAACTGATATGTAGTTAAATCCATAACGTTCTGCTATTTTCAAACTCTGTGTTCCTTTACCACTTCCTGGGCCACCTATTGGTAATTATAAGCAAAACATTAAATTAACCTTTCATCTGAAGTACACACTCACATGTGAAATCTTTGCTATCAGCACCATTTTTCCAACCAAGAGCAAATCCTGCAGTTGCATGACTCGTTACCAGCCATTTAGAAATGAGTCTCATCTACCTGATGATAAAGGTAACAGTTTGTAAAGTGAAGTAAAAAAAAAGAATACAAATCTACTTGCGAATTAAAAATAAACATGTTCTTTTAGGCTTGACCTCATTCTAAAGCTGTTCCTGGAAAGGAATTTTTCTTGATTTGTAGTAGAGGAAGACACAAATGAACTGGTCCCTTCTTGAACCCTGTGAATCCGAAGATAAAGCCAGATAGTCTGAAGCGTATTCATATCAGAAAGAATCATACCTGGTTAAATAAGCCAATGAAATCAATGGACTAGTCATGAAATGGAACTAATAAAATCTGCTCCTAAATATGCTTGCATGAGTTTCTGAAGTTTTCTAATTTTAAAATACAGAAAAATATTAAATAATCAGCTGAGATGTTTCCATAGTGATTTGCTACAAGGACTTTTATTGAACCACACATACTTCTGGTATTGATGCTTGAAGCATCTGATAGAGAAGTAATTTGTTAGGTTCAGCTTGCTGGACACCTTTAAGAATAAAGAGACCCTTCAATATAGCACAGGCAGAATAGGTATCAAAATCACAGAAAACAGCTACGTTACATAGCAGGGAATGCTGAAGTGAAGGTCAGCTGGACAGCAGAAGCAAGAATGCATGTAAAAAAAAATAAGACTATGTCTGAACTAAAAGGACACATTATGATATGAAGAACAGAGAAAGTGGAATCCAGTATGTAAAAACAGGGAATTGTTTTGATAAAAATAAATGTTTATATATAGAAAAGTGTATGTTACTGAATAGCATAACAAAGCAAAATCAAAACAAATCTTTTCCTATTAATTCCCAACACTAAGTAGCTATATTTTGGGGAATTGTGTATGAGAACATTGAATTTTACTTCAACAGACAAAGAATTAAGGTTTATTAAAAATACAATATACATTTTCTGTGAACTTTAAAAAATACAGCAATGCAATGAAAGTAAATATGAATACAATGAGCTTCTTGTTAGTAATGATATAACCCTTTCCTATGTTATCTGTTTTATTCCCACAAAGAGCTTTTAGGCATTTATATAATTAATACAGATTTGACTGCAGGATCAGCTTTACAATATTGCTTCATATATGGTTATGACACTCTCTGTGTAACCAGATTCAAACCTATGCCCCAATATTACATGTCAGCGAGCTTTTAGCATCACCAGTAGTCACTAGGAATTCTTCTGCACCCCTGACGCTGTGATGATAACTCTCCAACTGGCCTTTGCAACTCAGATCGGGACCCATTTGAAGAGAATGCACAGGGAAACGTGCGTATTATTAAGGTGTTCCCACACCCTGCCCACAGTTTAGTTACACCCTTGGGAAAAAAATGGCTTTATCATTATCCAATTAGTTTAAATAATGCTTAAATCAAGCCAGGTTAAGATAAATACAAATATAAGCATTTATCTGTAACACCCAACTAGTTGATACAGCTACAGATGTTCATAAAACACACAAGCAAAGAAATGAAAGAAAAACTGTATCTTATCTCTGTACAGTAAGGTTACAACTGACAAATATTTTTCCCTCATTCAGTTCACTTGCTGTTTCTCTCCTAAAAAAGGTACACGCTTTCTCTCTTCTTTCGGCAGATTACGTTAGGTTTTACAGCTATTCCTCCATTTCACTTCTACTAGGTGATCTAGATGGGCTTAGTTTTTTCGGCTTGAACTCTTTCTTTCATAGACAGTTTAGCTATCCTCTTCGTTAGAAACAAGGATGTTTCCCTTTTGTAGATACGCAAGCATCTGATACACCGGGAATCATCTCCTCCACTAAAGTGGCTACAAAGCAATTCTGCTTCGGCTCTCCCCGCTCCCTTTGATGGCATGCTCAGCCTTCCCCATGACAAATGCATTTCAGCAAACCTTACATTGGGTTTCACTCCTGTATCAAAAACGTACCTGATGATACAAACGTTCAAACAAGATAATTCCATGCTGCTTACAGTTTATTACAGGCTCTTGGTAATCTGGAATGATAGTAGGTTTGGAGTAACAGATTCCCAGTGTCTTTTTTCTTACGTAGATGAAAACAACAGCACGAAGAAGTGCAGCTAATTGTTCGATGATTGCTGCCAGTTTGTACAGAGCAGATTTTGCCAGGTGAATGAATAGGATTATTACTTGTTACTGGAATGTCTACTCACTCTGTCTAAAGATTTCCATAAGCAACCCTCTCTCTATATATAAAGCCACATATTGCAATTGAATAAGCATAACATATAAATAATGTATCTTACATATGTGTGTATTTATACATACGTGTAACATTTATTACTATGAATTTATGTGGCTTTATTTACTGGCAATAATCCTAACTATTGGAAAAAAGGGGCGGTAGGTTGTGACTGTGCTTTGGAGCAAAGGGTTTATAAAACATACCAGAGCCGATGCTGTGCTTAATTCCTGCAGATATAAAACTTCCAAGAAAGGAAATTCAGTTAATTTCCCTGGAGACTCAAGGCAAGTTTCAAATAGACTATGTTGCACCCCAGAAACAATAAAGATGCAAAACATATATAGGTAACATGTAGAAAATTAGAAACAGAAAATTTGACAAGGAAAATAGTATCCCTATTCCAGCAGAGATACAAAAGATGCCAGGAAAACAGAACTGTTACTTGAAAAAACATCAGTCTGTGTAAAACCATAAAATAGCTGAAAAAAACTTTTTGAAACCAAGTAGACAGACTTTACACTCCTATTAGGGAAAGCTTTGAACTATGTATCCATTCCTGACTCTTTGATAAATCATACTGACGAACTGTTCACAAGAAAGGAAAATCAAATCACTTTTGGTTTTCATTCTTTTCACTTATTCTGAGATTATACATTATTCAAGAAAAGCGTGATTATTTTACATATTGCTTAGAAGATGTCTAGACTAAGGAACATTTGTTGCATCTAAAATTATGTTTGCTAACTGGTTTCAAGTGAAGATTTGTATGCCCAAAAAGTTTTACTAAAGCAGTTGTTTTAACCTAGTTTTGGCAATGGAAGTTCAAAATTTCAATTTTGCTTATATTGTTGTAAATTCAAAATAAATTCATGTAATAATAAGATTTCTGAAAAGACTGATGATTTTAAAATCTAGCTGTGGACTGGATTTAACAAATCAACGGGCCAGCTGACTGCTGACACGATTCTCTTTGATCTATCCTTTAAACTTCGATTATAAATGGAAAACGTATTCTTTTAATATTAACTAATATTTTTAATTAAGTGCAGTTTAAAACCATACTGAACTATGGGGCTAGTGACACCAGGTAATTCATTTTTTAAGATCTTTGCATTCAGGCTGTACCAATAGTAAAAATGTGTTTGTCAAAATATGTTAGGAAGCTCATTTTTAAACACAATCTAGTTTCCTAGTGTTATAATGCCTTAGAAACTTAATTTTCCGGTGATTCAGATGTGTGCCATCCTGGCTGCTTCCATCTGATTTTTCTAAAATCCAGTCACATACTCACTTTGCAGCTTTGTAGCTTTACATTTCACCAGAAGACTTTTCTGCAAACACAGAAAAAGAACAAACCCCCCGCCTTTGTAAGCGAGTTCTCTTTTGCCTTGGAGCTACCTGGTTTATTATAAGGATGATAGATTTCATAAAGCAAAGAAGTTGTAAAAACCTTTATGGAAGCATTAAAAAGATCTTGGGCTAATGCATTATTAAAGAAAAGTTCACCTAATATGCGAAGCAGAAGACAGGTCTTTAACTTCTACTCATTTCAGTCCCCCACCATCTGAGCTAGGCAGTATGGTTAGTTATCACTACTTAGACATAAACAGCTTGCTTAACTGAAGTTTTCACCAGCACTTTATGCAAGCTGAAAAATATGCAACACGTTTTTTGTGTAGAATATTTGTCTCTTGAAATTAATAGGACACTTTTTTTCATTTTCTCTCTTTCATTCAGTATATTAGTTATTCTTTTATTCTTTCCAGTGTATGTTTTTATGTGCTTCCTCAATAGAAGGCTGAATTTGGGAGAAATTTTCTTGATACTGTACAAAATTGGACAAGAGCTGCTAAGCTACATATAGTATTGTGTTTCTATCAGACCACTCTATAACAGACAGATTCAGAGAAACTCAGTTGGAAAATAAACCTGAAATAGCCTTTGTGGAACGTTTAGAATGTTCCCTATATAAACTGGAGAAAAGAGAAGCTCTGTAAAATGCATGGTCTGTTCACTATATGCTGGCGTTCAAGGATGTCACTTCAACTACCCCTGCACTCAGTTCCAGAGGTGAAAGTAAATCTCTCTTTATTTCACCTAGATCAAACCTTCATTCATCACTCTACCGCAATAGAGCTACATGGATTTCAGTGCATTAAGAGCCTTCTGTGGTCACTGAAAAGGAGCCAGTTTTTCTCCTTTATGAAAAGGAAGGCTAGCTAATTAATTAAGATGGGAAAAAAAGGCACGTGTTATTTCTCCATCTAATGCAAGCTTTATAGTTCAACAGTGCATGGAGAGATTTGCATGTTGAGATTTGTAATTCCAAAACAAAAGATTAAGAAAATTCAAATGCCTAAGCAATTCTTCTGGCATACCACAAATATCTAGAAAAATGCCTGGTTTTCTGTTTTCAATATATTCCAATATCACATTCCTGAGACCTGCTGGATGCAGAGCCTAGAGCACATGCTGTTCTCAGAGATCCCACTCTGTAATACAGAGAAGACATTTCTATTCTCTTCTACTATACTACATACTATTCTCTGTTATGGAAGCAGTCTCTCTCTTTAATACGAATACATCTTTATAGACTAAAAATGTGATTCTCCATCACCTGGCACCTGTGCTGTAACTATTTAAATAGTCCAGAGAATCAGAGAATTAGGCCTGGCGGTAAAATTTCAAAAGACAACTATCCCAGATGACAAGGAAACTAATTCAAAGAACTTAAATTCAGACACAGAATAAAATGTTGATTTAGACTTAAACTGCAGCTATTTCTTACTAAAGTATGCTTGTCTGAGGCTGGAAAGTACAAGCTGGTTAGAAAGGACACTAAACAGCACACAAGAGAGAACTTGGGGAGAGAGCACAATTAACTAATGCTAACTGATGGCTCACTCTCCCTGAAGATGGCACAGGATTCATTTGCCAAATAGATCTAGGGATTAATTTATCAATGCAATGGACTAGTGACCATGTATGCTCACTCCAGCTGTATGTACCGATCAGTTTTCAAGGTTCTAAATATAGAGGACAACAGTTCCCTATCACCTTTTTGAGCTGGCTTGTCCAGTATTTTTAAATATCCTTTTTTGTGAGCAGCTTTGAGTACATCTACGATAGTGTTTCAGCTCTGATCCGGAGCACACTTTGGAAGAGCACTTTGGTTCACATGGTGAAGCTGTTTTGAAATGCATGAGTCGGGTTTGTTTTAGATTAAATCTAAAACAATCTGGCAGATGCGCTCCATAAGCCAACCGTGAGCTCTCCAGCTGCTAATGGGCATCCAGTCTACAGAACATGACCACAGGTGCTTACTGTAACCCCTAAAACGCTTACAGCTGAGATGATGTATACCCTCAGCACTAACAATTTCACTTTCTGATACATTCTATTTGGGCTGCACCACTCGCTACGGCAGATGGAAAAATTGTATTTAAATACATATAGGCATTCAATGTATTTGCAGTACAAATAAAAAGGCAAAGTAACAAAGATAAAATCTTGTCAAAATGACTCTGCCTGCATACCTATGACAAGGATAATTTTTGGTCGAGGTCTTGCAGGATCAAATACATCGTACTCCTCAATTAGCTCAGCAGTTTCAGAGAGGTCGGTGTCACTTTCTATCGAAAACTGTTGGATTGGAGGGAGTCGGTCATACCGTCGGTATGGGAAGTTAGAATTATCAGGCATCACTGTAAAATAGTAAGACAAACTGGGAATTGTGGAAATACACTGAAAACTCAAAATCTATTGTGTACACAGATTTAAATAAGTATAATAAATAAAGTAAAAATATCTCCTAAATTTACAATGTGCTTGCTGTTACTACATTAAGTATTCCTTGCCTCTATTTAGCTGATTTATTACATTGGAACCACTAGAAGCCAGTTTTCTTTGGTGCTTCTTTACAAGCACGTCACCTTTTCTGTGAAAATCTGCCCATAGCACCCAGAGTTCAGCAGTGGCCTCCGAGAAGAAAAGCACTCTATGGTGCAGATAACCTGTACTGTTAAGCAGACCTCTTTTGGTGATAGATGTTGTACACAGAGACAGAGATAGTATTCTTGCTAATTAGTTTAATGAAATGCTGGATGGCAAGGAATAATAACTATGGCAACTGAAAGATGGGCTAATTACTCTTTGTTAACATTACAAATAAAATAATTACAGGTATTGGTATGACATTTGCTTAGATTTTATGAGATGCACCTTTTTCTAAGTGTTTATCATGTACATTGTATTTGGTACATTAGCATATAGCTCCAATATAAACTAGAAAAACAACCTACTGTAACGGCATTGAAGTTGTTATGTACATCATCCATAAGGACCAACTAAAAATATAAACCAAGTGCACTGGGTCAACTTTGCCCCTGTCTTTGCAAATGTTTTAGGTAGGATACGAGGAATGTCTCCACTAATGTGTTAAACATTTACACAGCAAACATCCATCATTACGCTGCAAAATGATCACAATTTCCTCTCCTGCATAGCATCCGTTATGGAGAAGAAAAACAAATGCCAAAACGGAAGGAAACAGAATCCTTGAGTCCTTTGCCTAAGGAAAATCAGAATGAGGCATGATCTGCTACAGAAGTAAGCATAAAATAATTCAGTAGTGGATGTACAACCACCCACAGCACAAGAAATACAATCATTTTTATACTTAATACATTACCATTCCTGAAAAAAGACCTCCTGGATTGTCCTCCATTGAGTGGAGGCAGGGTCTTCTTTTCTGGGCTGACAAAAGTGTCCCATTTCACTTTTTCTGACCCTCCGAGCTCTTTCACTTTCTGCAAACAGCTTTCCAAATATTCAATTGGGTCATCGGGTTTGTAACACATTAATCCATTCAACAGACTCTGCAATGCAAGATCAGAAATACACACTATAATAATAGATGCCAGAAAAAACCAAGCATTTTTACTTTCAATTTTACTTTCCACAGAGAAACCCCATATTCCTTGCATATTCAGACTCTCCATTTCAAGCCAATGCGTGAGAGTGAGGCCTGCAAAAATTGTATGATTTTGGTTTGCCGGTGTCACAAAAATGATTCAGAACAGGAAGCTCGTGGCTATGTCTTCATATTTGTCTGCTTGCACTGTAGCAAGAACTGAAAATAGTAAAAAAATTCCCTACATTTTTCTTAGAACTACCACTGGCAAATACACGCAGAGCAATGCACAAGCTAGATAGCCCCAGAAGTTACATATTCTGTGTAGCCTATTAGATCACTGAAACGTATCTTTTCCCTAAAGACCAGTGCACCCACAAGTGTCTTATCCATATTCTTGAGTCAACACTAACACAAATAATGAAAAAAAGATTTTTAAAAATCACAAGAAATACTCAAATATCATCTTGATCAGTATTGGAAAAAAACCCAAAACCCGAAGTTCATAGGTGCTTCCAGATTTAATTGACCAGAAATTCCCAGCCATTAGAAAACCCCTGTCTACTGTATTAATTCTGCACGCATCGTACCTATGGGCATTATGGGGAGCGTGGAAGAAGGAATGCCAGGCCCTCCTCTGACGCACGGTAATTGATTTTCCTTGACAAAGTGATACATAAGTCATCACCTCACCTCTCCACAAGACAACCGCATCCAACCTTCTCTTAACAATAAACGTCTTTCAGGATGATTTCTGCTCCTTTGTGCTCTTCCTGATTTTTGTGCAAATAAACTTGAGGGTCACAGTTGATATTAGTAATAAACATAAATAGCTCCAATTCAGGATTTGCTCCGTTATTTATTATCTACAGTTTATACAATAATTGTTATTTACACACATTTGTATTTATAAAATAGGATATAATTTATATGCATCTATGCTCTTATTGTACTACTTAACCGATCACAGCAACTAGCCATATATTTGTGCAGAAGATATGCACCATTTTTAAAAAAATGCTAGCTCAAGCTTTGAGCCGCTACAGAAGAACTGTTTTGTTTGCATCTCTTGTTAAACCATTCACATTCTAAATGCGTTAGTAAAACATCAGCATGGTCTATGTCCTGTAATTTTCAAATACATAAAAAAAAGTCTAGCTTCAGAACAGACCGGGGAAAATACATGTGTCTCTGTGTGTGTTTTATATGGATGGCAGGATGTCTGATAAGGAGAAAACCCCAAAAATCCACATTTCACAGAGAAGTAATTATCAACCTTTAGCACCAGGTAACTTGCAGGACGCTAAACAAAACCTCACTAAACAGTTGTGGGTTTTTTTTTTTTCTCCCAGGCCGATGAAAACCTGGAGAAAGCCTGAAAGATAACCCCCGCCTGGATTCCTCGGCAGAGCGGCCCCGGAGGTCCTCTGCCCTGCGGACGCGCAAGTTGGCTGCCCCCCAGGCGGCCGAAGGCGGGCAGAGGCGGCCTCCCGCAGCGCCGCGGAGGGGCG